GGACTAGGAAGCCTAGTCCGAACTACCTAGTCCGTGCCGCGTGTAGCCGCGCGGTACGGGGTTCAGACTAGCCGGGATTTAAAAATGGCGGCGCCCGGCTTATGCAAATGAAGCCCGGGAAATTCAAATCCCGGGCTTCATTTGCAAGTGCGGTATGCCTACATTACCCTCCTAGTTCGAATTAGGAGGGTAGTGTAGACATACCCTGAAATATTTAGGGCCTGGAATAACGAGGGTGTGGTACACTTACTCCAGGCCCTGAGCGGTATCCTTTGGCCAGAGGGCTAGCACTCCCTGCCTTCTCTCTGAAGAAGCGACCGTCTGCCACGAATTGCAGCCTCTGGCTCCATTGCAAGAGACGCCCAGTTGCCCCTGTCAATAGGGAAGAGGAATGAAGCAGGAGGCTGCCAGTCCCCTAGGGTCCTTCCCGCAGGGTAAAATCACAAAACCGGCTGGTGAAAAGACCGGGCCATAGTGATGTGTGTCTACTGCCTCAGCGCTCTGCATGACCTCTGGCGTCTTTCAGCCCCTGTACGCTCTGGAGACTTGGGACTGGACCATACATTTGAGGATGGGGGTGGTGCTTGTTGGGGTGGGCCTGCCGTGGGCTGGGATGCTCATGCAGCGCCTCTCCATTCCCCTGGGAGCGCTCGCGCAAAAGGGCCTGCTGGAGGAGAGCAGGAATTGCGTATAATAGGGGCACCACCGGGGCGGACCGTGAGCCTAGGCAGACTTGCCACTCCTAGGCACCACATAAGTTCAGTGATGCACAGGGGACTATGGAGAACGGAGGCAGGGAACCTTTTTAGGGCTGGGGGCCACGTACAGGTGAAAAGCAAAAACCCTCCAAAACAAAACCTCAGTGATGTGGCCTCTGACTGCACACCATCATCTACGGGGGCCCAGGCTAGGACTGTGTGATCCAGCCCCATGGAAGGACAGTGGGGGGGCTGGAGAGCTAGAGCGGGTTCCCCAATTTGCAGGGGAGCCCTGAACCAGATGCAGGCAAGCTGGGGGCTGGATGCCTTAGGTTCCCCACCCCAGATTAAGAAGCTAATTAGCCTACCTTGTATCTAGCAATCCAGGGGGTTGGTCCCCAGGACTCTGCCAGGTTAGAGACATGGGTAACATTTTCAAAGACGCCCATGGCACCTACCTCCCATTGTTAGGGCTGCCAGATGGTTTCAACAAAAATACCGGACACACTTGACATGGCATCACGATCTACATCACATCTTATTTAGAAAATACTGGACAGTTCTATTTTCTTGTTTCTATTTTCTCAATTTGTTTCCCGAACAGAAAGCTCAAATATCGGACTGTCCAGTTCAAAACTGGACACCTGGCAACCCTACCCATTTTCAAAAGTGACTGTGGGCATGTCTACGCTACAGCCACGCCCATGGCAGTACCATGGGGTACCTGTTAGTACGCCATGGAAGGGGGTTTCTGTCTATGTAGGTAAGGTACAAGAGGCGGTAGCAAAGTCAATGGGAGAATTCTTCCTTCAACCTATCCACAGCTACACCAGGGCAAGGTCGACCTAACTATGGGACTCGGAGTGAAATTTCTTTTTGCAGCAAGGTGGCTGATCTAATTTTTAATAGGCGAGGCCCAAGCGCTGTCGGCACGTCTACCTTGGGGAGTTATTTCGAAATAACACGGTGAGCGTCCACACAGCAAGCCCGTTGTTTCGAGAGGCTTTCGAAATAGCGGGCTTGTTATTTCGCAATAATCACCCCGGCTTGCGAGGAGGAAGAACGTCTGTTTCGAAATCGTTATTTCGGGAGGTACTATTTCGAAATAATGAAAAAGGGCCTACGGGTGGGGTCTAGACTATTCCTGTAGCCAGGAGAGCTGTGTTGGGCGGGGCGGGGAAGAGGAGTGACCCTTGACTGGCGGAGGGGGGCTGGCGAAAGCCCCTCGTGCAGGCACAACAGTGGTGGCGAAACGGCACTGTCAGCAGTCGCGTCTGCGGCTGGGAGGCTGGATTAACAAAATGCCGGTTGGTGGGTCTAAGCGGCACAGGAACGCGCTGGCAGAGCATCCAGGCAGCGTGAGCAAATGCTCACCGTGCGAATTTGACCCTGCGTGCCTAAGGCGGGGATTTTCATAGGCCCCAAACAGAACAAGGTGCCTAAATCTCATTAACTTCCAGTGAAAGTTGGGGGCGCCTTGTGCCTTTGAAAATCTCCTTATAAGTCGCTTTTGGAAACTGGCCGGAGGCTCCTGAGTCCCAAAGGCTCCCAAGTCACCCAGGCTCGTGTCCTTCAAGGTGTTGAGGGGGCCAGCGCCCAGCGATTTCCTTAGGCGTGTTTGAAAAGTTCCCCCCGGGCGCTAAGACAACGCAAAGCACCTGCTTTCCCCGGGCCAGCTGGACGACAGCGAAGTCGGTGGGAGCAGGAGGCAGCTCTCAGCCTGCTTCTGTCCCCAGGGTGGGGTGTGCGTCTGACATCACTGACACCGCCTCAGGTGTGCCCTGGAGAAACAAAGGTCTGTAGCGTAGTCTCAGGGGGTCCCATGGCACCTTAGAGACTCACCAAACTACAGAGAAGCCTGAGCTTTTGTGGGTAAAACCCACTTCCCCAGCCGTCCCAGTGGGTTTTACCCACCCACGCGCCTGAGTCTCTGAGGTGCCACGGGGCCAGGCCTTGTTTTTCGCTCTGACATGGCCATTTGATTGCTTTTCGCAGCCGTCTAGCCACGTAACCTTGGAGTATGCCCAGCGATGTGGCAAGGCAGTGCCTCCGCAGCTCAAGGACGGATGCACTCAGAGCAGGCGAGGCCGCATGGGCCTCTTGAATTGCAGGGGCGCCTTAAGCCCTGAAATGTGACTTCTCACATGATAGGAGCCTGACTGAAGTGTCTGCCCAGCCCCGGAGCTCTGAGAACTCCGTTCCCAGCGCAGCTCGGGAGCCTTCCCACCGGCCGCAGGATGACAGCCAGCCCCGGCCTGGCCAGCCCGGCGGGGAAGCTCTTGGGGTCCGTCACCCCCTTTGCTAGGCGGGTTTCCTTTCGGGAGGTGAAGGCGGAAGATGAGAGGAGCCTGTTGCTACCTAAGGTAACCCTGGGTGCCTTGGGGTCCCACCCCCTTTGCTAGGCGGGTTTCCTTTCGGGAGGTGAAGGCGGAAGATGAGAGGAGCCTGTTGCTACCTAAGGTAACCCCCTGTGTGTGCGGCGCGCCGGCTTTGCGGCCCTCTTTGGCG